CGCGCCGTGTCCTGCCCTCTCAGGACGTCACTTTTGACGAGTCGGTGCCCTACTACGGCCTCTTCCCCTACCGCACTGCCCCGCTCCCCCCCCGCCTCTCTTCCTCGCGCCAGGTGCTACTGTGGTAGACCCCCTCCCCCCTCAGGGTGCCGCTCCCTCAGGTGTGTCCCAGGTAGACCCGGTTGAGCCTGTTGAGGTAGCTGTCGACTCTCGTCCTGCTAGGGGTACTGAGCCTGAGCGTGCGGAGCCTGGGGGTGCGGAGCCTGGGGGTGCGGAGCCTGGTGTTGCGGAGCCTGGTGGTGCTGAGTCTGGGGGTGCTGAGCCTGGGAGTGCTACGTATGAGGGTACTGAGCCAGAGGGTGCTGCGACTGAGAGTGCTCCACCTGGAGGCGCTCTTTCCTCACAGCAGCTGCGTGAGTGGTACTTACAGTACTGCAGCCTCAGGAGAGGTGCTTCTGGAGCTAGGAGTGCTGCTGGAGCTGGTGCTAGTACTTCCCCTCCTAGGCGGGAGCTGCCCTCTCCCCAGCGGCTCCGAGAGTGGTACGCTCGGCGCTGCAGTCTCCGGAGTGGCGCTCCTGGTGTCGCGGACCCTGGTGCTGGAGGTGCTGCTGGTGCTGCTGGCGCTGCTGGAGGTGCTGCTGGTGCTGGTGCTGCTGGAGCTGCTGGAGGTGCTGCTGCTACGGGCGGTGCTCCTGGCGCTGCTGGAGGTGCTGCTGGTGCTGGTGCTGCTGGAGCTGCTGGAGGTGCTGCTGCTGCTGGTGGTGCTGCTGGTGCTGCTGACGCTGCTGGAGGTGCTGGTGCTGCTGACGCTGCTGGAGGTACTGCTGGTGCTGGTGCTGCTGGAGCTGCTGGAGGTGCTGCTACTACTGGAGGTGCGGCTGCTGCTCGCGGTGCTGCTGGCGCTGCTGGAGGTGCTACTGGTGCTGCTGGAGCTGCTGGAGGTACTGCTACTGCTGGCGGTGCTGCTGGCGCTGCTGGAGCTGCTGGAGCCGCTGGTCCTGGAGGTGCTCGTACTGGAGGTACTGGAGCTGCTGGGACTTGGCCTGTTGAGGGGGTTGGAGCTGGAGGTGCTGAGCGGCCGCGGCCGTAATACGTTCCGCTCCTTCAGCAGGTTCTTGTTCTCCCGCCCTCTACTGGTCCTACTCCTCCCCTACTGAGTCTACCGCCTGTCCAGTCACAGTCACAGTTACAGCCTGCCTCTCCGCTGCCTGGTCCTTCTCCTTACACTGCGTCGACTGGTAGTCTTACTGAGCGTCGTGAGCCTAAGTCTCGTCCTCCGTCGCCTGAGTCTAGTCCAGCGTCGCCTGCGTCGCGTTTAGAGTCACCTGTCCGCGCTGTCCGCGCTGGTCGTCGTGCTCCGCGTCAGCGTCCTCCTCCTGTCCTTGGCACTCACTATATGACCCTGCGTCCTTCCACTGCTCCACAGCGCGTCCCTCTGCCGTCTCCTCCTGCGTCATCTCTTCCTGACGTTGCTGACCCGCCGTCGGACCTTACTCGTGCTGCCAGTCCTACTGTCACGCGTCTCCTTGCCACTGTTGTCACTGACCCTACCTTTGAGTCCTCTGCTGCGTCTGCTCTAGTCGCTGAGCTTGTTGACTTTGCTGCCGCCTGTCGTCTAGACTACGCCGCTAGCCTTGTTGCTGAGTCTGAGTCTGTCTGTCCTCCGTCAGTCGGGGGTGAGTGTGCTCTTGGCACGGACGTCCGTTTGAGTGCTTTCCTGCTGCTTTACCTCATCTCGTGTCCATGCTGATTGCCTCTGAGGGAGACCCGGATGCACCAGACATCCCGACCCCACGCTCCTACGCAGAGGCGATGGAGGGTCTCTACTCCTCTCAGTGGCAGACAGCCATGGACGCAGAGATGGCTTCCTGGAAGTCCACAGGCACCTACGTCGACGAGGTTCCCCCTCCTTGGGCGAACATCGTCAGTGGCATGTGGATTTTCAGGGCGAAGCAGCCGCCGGGTTCTCCGCCTGTCTTCAAGGCACGTTACGTTGCACGAGGCTTCAGTCAGCGAGAGGGAGTTGACTTCTTCCAGACCTTCTCCCCGACCCCGAAGATGACCACTCTTCGGGTTCTGCTGCACGTCGCTGCTCAGCGTGACTACGAGCTCCACTCTCTTGACTTTAGCACTGCGTTCCTACAGGGCAGCCTGCACGAGGAGATCTGGCTGCGCCGCCCACCTGGCTTCACTGGGTCGTTCCCTCCTAGAACCCAGTGGAGCCTCCGGCGGCCAGTCTACGGTCTCCGCCAGGCACCCCGTGAGTGGCACGACACACTGAGGACTACTCTTGCTGCTCTTGGGTTTGCTCCTACTGCTGACCCGTCGCTGTTTCTACGCACCGACACCACTCTGCCGCCGTTCTACATTCTCGTGTACGTAGACGACTTGGTCTTTGCTACTGCTGACACTGAGGCACTCGCCCACGTGAAGTCGGAGCTGCAGAAGAGACACACGTGCACAGACCTGGGTGAGCTGACAAGCTATCTTGGCTTGCGGATCACCCGGGACAGAGCACAGCGCACCATCACCTTGACTCAGTCACACATGGTGCAGCAGGTCCTTCAGCGCTTCCGCTTCACGTACTCCTCGCCTCAGCCCACTCCTCTGCCTACCGGTCACTCGCTCTCAGCTCTGCCTTCGGATGAGTCCGTAGAGCCGAGTGGCCCGTATCCAGAGCTTGTGGGCTGCCTCATGTACCTGATGACCTGCACTTGACCTGACCTTGCATACCCTCTTAGCATCCTAGCACACTATGTCGCTCCTGGCCGTCACCGGAAGGAGCACATGGATGCCGCTAAGAGGGTGTTGCGCTACTTATGCAGTACGTCGGGCATGGGGCTTGTGCTTGGAGGACGGCGCGACGTTGTCCTCACTGGACACTCAGACGCTTCTTGGGCTGACGACCAGGCTACTCAGCGGTCGTCTCAGGGTTACACCTTTCGCCTTGGCTCTGGCTCAGTTTCTTAGCGTTCTACACGCTCGTCTTCAATTCTCGGCTCCAGTTGTGAGGCTGAGATCTACGCCACAGCCATGGCTGCACAGGAGCTACGCTGACTCACCTACCTGCTGACCGACCTGGGAGAGCGGCCTCGTTCTCCTCCAGTGCTGTACGTCGACAACAAGGCCGCCCTTGCCTTGTGTCAGGAGCACAGACTGGAGCACAGAACGAAGCACATCGCTCTGCGCTACTTCCTTGCTCGAGAGCTGCAGCAGCGTGGTCAGCTTCGTCTTACCTACGTGGCCACTCGGGCCAACACTGCTGATGTGTTCACCAAGGCGCTTCAGCCTTGTGACCATCAGCGTTTCTGTACTGTTCTAGGCCTTGTGCCTACTCTCCCTCACTTGCTCACTTCTTGACTCCGTTTGTACTGTGATGTCTATATATATACCTGCATGCTTACACTTGCTAGGTTGTGATCACTGTACCTCTTGTTATATTATCAAACTGCATGTGAACTGGTCTTGTGACCACTTGCTTGTGCTCGGAATTTGTGTGGTATCCTTGAGATCCACCCTGAGCTTGTTTTGCTTTGCCTTGCTTTGACTGGTCTTGTGACCTCTTGTTCTCCCCCACTTAGCCTATGGGGTGTGTCAAACATTATATGTTTACATTGTGTAGGCTATAGTGGGTTTAGCCTTAGGGGGTACAACAAACTTAGGGTTTCCTACTTGTACTCACTTTCTGCTAGTTTCATCCATTCTCGTTCTTACTTTCTAACAGCTTGTTCTTCTTTATATATAACTCTGCATGTGAACTGGCCTTGTGGCCATTTGCTTGTGCTCGGACTGCGTGGTGACGTTGTGATCCACCCTGAGCTTGACCTTGCTTCGTTCTCTTACATGTCCCCCACTTTGCCTATGGGGGTGTGTCAGATTTTTGCATTTATATGCTCTAGGCTGTAGTGGGGCACTCCTTATGGGGTACAGCCCAATTAGGTTTTGCTATACAAACCCTGTACTGCTGTAGTTCTAGTCATTCTTCATTCCTACTTTCTGACACAGTCCTAGACACGTACCTATTTGGTAATGTACTTGTTCACTAACAGGGCCATTTCGTCGAATCATCACTCAAAAGAGTATGATTGTACTCTCACACGAATTGTCACGCGACTATTTGCGCTACTATATATTTTACTCGCCAAGTGACACATGCTATAGTAACATAAACCCATAATAATATGACAATAACATTATAACTCAAACAATTTTATCGCTTTAGTAATTTTATTCGCTTCAACATATGACTATAATAGCTTTGCTCAATGTAAATGTTTGTGCACAGACAAACTCTATCTCAACTCCACAAACTCATGTCTAATCAGATTCCCTTCGAAATATCTTTAACCTGCTGATGAAGCTTAATATTATCGTTTGTCAGCTCATCTATGACAGTCGACAATTTTTCCAGCCGCTCTTCGAGTTCTCGAACGTTCTGCAATATGAGAAAACAAGCGAATTAGCGCTGCCGATAACAAGCGTGCGCTTGTCAAAGCAGCAAGAAAAACACTATACTGACGGTTGAAACATACCGATTCCCAAGCAGCATAACTAAGCACACTAGATCCTCCCAACATCATGAGAAGAGTATTGAATGCTCCCTGTCGGAGCTGAGAAGAGAATAGCGAGAAGTGTGTGTGCAAGAAAAAATAATGAGCAAACAGAATGTCGAGAAAAATGTGCTGATGGCCAATGAGGAAGATGATGGGTGGAGGGGGCCAAGGTAAGGGGGTGCTGAGGGTCCAGGGAAGAAAACTTGGGGAGGGGGGAGGGGGGGAGGGGGGGAGGGGGGAGGGGGGGAGGGGGGGAGGGGGGAGGGGGGAGGGGGGAGGGGGGAGGGGGGAGGGGGGAGGGGGGAGGGGGGGAGGGGGGAGGGGGAGAAGAGGGGAGGGAAAAGGGAAGGGGGTGCGGGAGATTCAGGGAGGAAGATGATGGGGGTGAGGGGTGAGCAAAGGGAAGGAGATGATAGAGGGAGAGGGGAGAGAAAAGGGAAAGGGGTGCTAAGGGTCCAGGGAAGAAGATGTTGGTGGGGAGGGGGGAGAGAGCAAAGAGAAGGGGTTGCTGAGGGTCCGAGGATGAAGATGATGGGGGCTGGGGGGAGAGGAAAGGGAAGGGGGTGCTGAGGGTCCAGGCAGGAAGATGATTGGGGCTTGGGGGAGAGCAAAGGGAAGGGGGTGCTGAGGGTCCAGGTAGGAAGATGATGGGGGGAGGGGGAACAGCAAAGGGAGGGGGTGCTGAGGGTCCAGGGAGGAAGGGGGGAGGGGGGGATAAAGCAAATGGAAGGGGGTGCTGAGGGTTCAGGGAAGAAGAGGGGGGAGGGAGGAGAGCAAAGGGAAGGGGATGCAAAAAATCAGGGAGGAAGATGATGGGGGGAGGGGGGGAGGGGGGGAGAGCAAAAGAAAGGGGGTGCTAAGATCCAGGGAGGAAGACGATTGGGGGAGAAGGGGGGGAGAGCAGTGGGAAGGGGGTGCTGTGGGTCCAGGGAAGAAAGGTGTTGGCAAAGGGAAGGGGGTGCTGAAAATCTGGGGAGGAAGACGATGGGGGGAGGGGAGAGAGCAAAGGGAAGGGGGTGCGGAGGGTCCGGGGAGGAAGATGATGGGGGGAGCGGAGAGAGCTAAGGGAAGGGGGTGTTTCAGGGTTCAGGGAGGAAGATGTTCGAGTGGAGGAGCAGATGGGGTGCATAGGGAAAGTGAGAGGGGAGTTGTGGGGACAATAAAGGGTTGCTATAGGGGCAGCAAAGAGAATGTTGTAGGGGTAACAAGGTTACATTAAAAGACTCACATGATTCATTTCGAAGACGAACTTATGTACTCCCGTCCTTTACTGTTATTGAAAACGTGAGCCGTCCAAGATGCAGAAGAGAGATGTCTGAAATCCGAATGCTGCCAATGTTGTCCCGCAGAGCGTCAATCGGAACTCTCGAATCCTCTTCAAGAAAGAGTACAAAGAGTACGCATAATGCTGATGCATATATTGAGGCACTCATCATTTTCTTGTTAACAGCCAACAAGAGACCCATGTCTACTGAAACTACCTGAGTGGACTGAACAACAAGATTGACACGGAACATTGTGACTAGGCTCCAGAACAAGTCTTACATTTCCTCCAAGAAGCTTATTCTGGCATCATTAGCCAAGCTTACATCCTTCGTTTTTCGTGCATACAGGTATAAGGTTAAGCTCAGAAAAGAAGGGAAGACAAAGAGAAGAAAAGGAGATTTGGAACCGTAATTAATCATCGGTTCTTCGTTCCACTTCCTGGCGTTTCGATTAATTGTTGGCACAAAATTGATCATTTCCCTCCAACATTCTTCATCACTTGGCATTCCCACATCGAAGTGCGCAACTAGTTGCAAACCAGCCAATTTTCGAAGCAAATCGACCGAAAAATACTCTTTAAATGTGAGGTACTGGTGTTGAGCCTGCAAAAGGGAAGAGTTATTACGGGTGCATGATGTTGGTCCATCAGCGGAATAGAAGGAACGACAAAAGACATACATGCAAATATGACTGCTCGATGAAGCTTTTGCCGTAGATTCTTTCACCCTTAGGAAACTCTTTTTTGCTGAACACAATTAGGAAAGAATATTCATGCGCCTTTTCCGCTCGAAATGCCTGACTTTGCACAAGGTCCGCAACAAAGCGCCAATTGCTGATCCATGCGTACTGCGACGCAACCACACTCCCCTTCATCTCACAGAAACCAAATGTTGCATGATTCAGTATATTTATGCGTTTTGCCACAGCCTGTTTGGTGTTAGTTAAAAAGCATGGGCAACGATTATAGAAAATGGGCAATGGAAGAGCAAAATATCAAGTATTTAAAACATGAAATTATGTTCTTGGAACGGATAAATGAAGCTTGTTACACATGACAAATTAAGCTTGTTCAAATTACAGGTCTTATATCATCAAACGTCGAATAGAAGTGGTAGCGTAGGGTTTGATAAGTGTCATCGAGGAGGTGAACCGTCACAATCTGTTGCTCCTCCGAAACTGACTTTTGTACTTCATTTGCTGAAGGTAAAACCTATCGGCCGCCGCATATATCCACTTTCATCAACACGTCCCACACCGTACGCAATGCTTTCTTCAACTTCTCGTTGCTCGTGGAATGGAATATCTCTTGGAGAATTTACCTTATAGGGTAAAAATCTGAGGGAGAAGCAGTGAAACAAAATAATATCAGCATGCATCCCTTCAGGATGTGCTCATCACCTTCGAAAAACCGAATCATACTTTCACCGAATCATATGGATCCGGCAAGCATCGTTCTTGCATCATCTTCAAGATCGAAGATAATGCTTGTGCTTGCACTTCAATGGCTGGCACTTTGAACCATGCTTGCACATATGTCTCAAACCGAGCACGGACATCCAAAACCTGCCAAGATTAATGATTGGACGGTGATTGCAAGAGATGAAAAAAGGCAAGAACGACAGAAGATCAAAACGGTACGAACAAATTTTCAACGGACATGTCGACGTGAACATTAACTCTATGGTTGATTGAACATGACAACACGTACCATTGCAGATGTCGCCATTCTTCAGTCGACAAAACGATTGTTGTGTATGATCACGTTGGCTGAATTTGACTTCAACGCAGTCTTCAACGAATTCACTAGGTGTGGATAATACAAAGAGAGGCAGAAATACGAGTCAAATAAGAGAGAGGATTCTTCGCGGTGCACTTTAGACGAATCAAACCAGTCAGGTAGACTTCAACAATTTAAATATACTTGTAAATTTCTAAAGAAAAATGAGGACGAGTGATAATGAGAGAAGGAAGATAAAAGGAAAAGAGGATGCAAACTAATGATGCACGAGAAAGTGAAGGTTATGACGGGGAATAAAGAAAGATGGAAGGAGAAATCTGAGGGAACGAAAGTGACAAAATTATTACAATCTTGAACAGCACTTGTAGGCAGTCTTAAACTGCACGACGGAAACAGGGTGTTGCCTCACTCATAAGGTTGAATGGGTTCTTACTACGGGAGGAGTTTTTGCTGCCGACACGCGTTGCGGGTTTGACAGTAAGTGATGCCCTTCAAAGGATAACCAATCAAGATGATGCGGAGTTGCAGGTGCGTAGGGAGAGACGGATCGAGGCGTAGGCCAGGTGGGAATCTGTGAAAGCTTCTCTTAGCTAGGGATTTCGCCCCACTCTAGGCCCTAATAACTTTGATCGCTTGGGTAGCTGTTAAAATCCCACAGGCGGGACGAGAATGCACACGCGACGCTAACAGTCTCGAAGGCGCGTGGGCTCTCGTGTGTCAGTGTCTGGATCGAGTTGTGCTTGAAGACCTGCCTTGTGTATGCTATGCTAGGTTCGACTTTAATAAGACACATTTGGTGCCTGAACAGACCTGCGTTTACGTCTCGTGAATCACCAAGCGGGATTATTTTCCTGCATGTGGGTTAGTGGCGTCGCCAACAAGTTTCGTAAGGGGCGGGTGAATCGGGCAGGGGTGAATTGCTGGGAGATATGACATGCGGTGTGTGGGTCATCCAAGTGGCGTCACCAACAAGTCCCGTAAGGGGCGGGTGAATCGGGCGGGTGAATAGGGGTAAATTGCGGGTGAATCGATGCGGTCGATAACGATTGATGTAACGTGTGTTACTCACTGAGGTTCAAACCTAGTCAATGGTGATGTGGCACAAATAGACAGCCTCAATGGTGATGTGACGCTTAAGACTTCAATCATCAATGCGTTCCAATTTGTGGCACATCAATCTCAACTCGATCACTACTGATGCAGCTTACTAGTCCTCGTAAGTCCCCCACTAGGTCTCCAGCTCGTTAGTAGTATGAGACACTACGTGTACACTGCTTAGGAAGATGCTTTGCGAGTTGAGTGATGATGAAAACTTGTGGTGGAGATGGTGGATTTTAGTACATGGGGGACCTGTTGAGGGATTATAGGGATAAGAACTTGTCATGTAGTATCACTGGTGAGGCGAGGTAACAATTTCCATCGGGTTGGAATTGAAAATTTCAGGTGTCAAGGAGTCCGTCATGAACTATTTGCCGACCATTTTTTATGATTGTTGTCATAATAAGACAATATGTGGGGAATTCACGTTGAACATTTGCATATTATACATTTTTCAGAAGCTTGTTGGGTTTGGTTTTTAGTGGGCCAAGGGAAAAAATGAACATTCATGCACCTACCCTTTAAAACACATAATCAGAGGCAGCACTGGAGGTGAACTCCTCCGACTTGAGCGAGAATGGATGAACTAGAAACAAGGTGGTACAAGAACTAACCCTAATTGGGTTGTACCCCATATGGGCTACCCCACTACAGCCTACACAACACACACATAACAGTTTGACACACCCCCATAGGCAAAGTGGGGGAGAACAAGGTGTCAGAATATGTTGTTTGTGTAGCCTGCAATGGGGTACTCAATAGTGAGTATAGCCCCTTAGGGTTTGCTATATTGTATCCTGCTGCTTGCTAGTTCCACCACTCCTTCTCAATTCTGTTCCTGCACACGTTCCTAGCTCGTACTTGGCGCCTCCTCGTTCTAGTCCTACTGTGGCCTAGGCTACTAAGCCTAGGCCGTACTCCTACTATCTTTGACATGGTATCAGAGGGCGGCATGTCTGCCGCCTTCCTGTGTATGGGCCCACCACCCGCTTCCGCTGCCGTACTGTCCGCCGCGCGCCCCGTGGTGCGCGGCGGCGAAACCCTAATTTCTGCCCGCCGCGCGCTCGGGGCGCCTGGCGGTTTTCCCTTCCGTGGCGCCCGTCGTGGTGCCCTTGGGGGGGCCTCCGCGGTCCCCTCCCGTCGAAGCGCCCGTCGAGGCGCTCTCGGGGACCCGCGCGGCCTCCCCTCCCGTCGCCCGTCGAGGCGACCTCGGGGACCCGCGCGGCCTCCCCTCCCGTCGCCCGTCGAGGCGACCTTGGGGGCCCGCGCGGCCTCCCCACCAGTCGCCCGTCGAGGCGACTTCGGGGGCCGTGCGCGGCGCCCTCCCCGTTGCCCGTCGAGGCGACTTCGAGGGCCGTGCGCGGCCCTCCCCGTCGCCCGTCGAGGCGACTTCAGGGGGCCCGCGCGGCGCCCTCCCCGTCGCCCGTCGAGGTGGCTCTGGGGGCCCGTCGCGGCGCCCTCCCTGGTGCCCGTCGCGGCGCCCCGGGGGGGGGGGCCGCGCGGCTCCCTTCTTGTCGCCCCTCGGGGCGCCCTGGGGGCCGTGCGTTCCCCCCCCCCCCCCCCCCCCCCCCCCCTCCTCCTGCATTTCAACTGCGGCGGCCGCCCCTGGAGCCGCCCGCCACTGCAGCAGCAGCCCCTGGAGCCGCCCGCCACTGCAGCAGCCGCCCCTGGAGCAGCCCGCCACTGCAGCAGCCGCCCCTGGAGCCGCCCGCCACTGCAGCAGCAGCCCCTGGAGCCGCCCGCCACTGCAGCAGCCGCCCCTGGAGCAGCCCGCACCTGCAGCAGCCGCCCCTGGAGCAGCCCGTGCCTGCAGCAGCCGCCCCAGGACCCGCGCGAGCCGCCCCTGCAGAAGCCCGTCCCGTCCCCCCCCCCCCCCCCCCGTGCTGCCCATTGCTCCCATTCCACCGTGCGTTCCGTGGTGGTTGGGGTGTGGGGTGGCGAGCATGGGGGTGAGAGGTGTGGGTTCTCCCCTCCTCCTTTTTCGTCTCCCACTGCTGCAGCTGCCGCTGAGGGGGGTGGAGGTGTGGGAGTCGTGGGGAGGGGCACTAGGGGGGTGATGTGGGAGTGGAACTAGGGGTGAAGCAGGGGGTGTGTGACAGGGGTGTGGGGCAGTTGGGGGAGGTTGAGTGGAGGCA